GTGGTGGTGGTCGTGGTGGTGGTGGTGGTGGTGGTGGTCGTCGTCGTCGTCGTCGTCGTCGTGGTGGCGACTGCGACCGTCCCTGATGATGGGTTCGAGTGAGAATCCGAAACGTCAGGCCAATAAATTTATTGTTCCAGTGATCACATCTTCGCCTTCTGAACTGCTACCTGGGACTCGCCTGTTCGCTTCTATCGGTTAACGAACAGTTGGATGCGTTGTTCCCTTGTGCAGTTCAGATATCGAAGGGGGAGGTTGGTCTCGTCAACAGGCCTGTAAAATCTCGCAAAATTTGACTAAGGATGTGTAACAATAACAGTAGTAATCCACCGCCGCCATTTTGCGAGCTGGATCCGGATCTAAAGGTCGCCATCGAGAATGGACTGGCTGCAGACAATAGCTCAGATCTCATGCTAGTGAGAGTGCTATAGAGGCCATGTCGAGAAGGCGCCATTGCAGCCTGGATCTCAGTCCTGAGAGGGTTGTGCGTTAGTTAACAGCCCTTTAAGCCAGGACTTTTATCGTGTCGTGATCGAGTTAAGTGCGTCAGGTTGACCATAGTGAGGAATTCATTTGCGTGCCATGGGGCAGAGTTCCTCAGAGTCCTCGCTCTCCTCTTCCACGCACCAGTTACATTGTGCGAGACCGTCAGTCATCTGGTGATGGGCTTGGATGCAGTGGTTCACATAGTAGGCATTCCGTGCCAAGATGTGTCACAAAAGCTCCCAACCTCTTGTATGCGGTAGTATGTGATCGGTTGGACCCTGCGCTACCAGATAATCGCGTGCCGTGGCCTTATATGGCCTCGTCTTGGTTCAGTGCATCTACAGCCCAGTCCTTTGTAGGGACAAATCTCTAGCTGCCCTTATTCTTCGTCTGGTCCCGTAAATGTGTTCTGGCACTCAGCCGTCAGTTCATCCAGTCTGTCACATTATTTATAACATTCTGTACGGCAATTTTGATCAGAGAGCAAAGATCCTTGTGCGAAGCAGTGTTATCATTGAGGAGACTATGCGGCGAATCACTAGTAGTTAGTGGGACACCAGAGATACGTTTTCCAATAATCACTTATAATATCGAACACTCTGCTTCAAGAAAGGTTCCACTATCTAAGCCTAACGCCTCCAACTCGCTCCCCCCCCCCCCCCCCCCAACAAAAACCAAAACCACAATCCTAAACCTCGGTTTCGGGACAGAGCCTAAATCATAGTTTTTCCCTCAAGCAGGAGACGGATCTGAGGTTCAACCCAATTCTTCCTTCCAGGCCACCTATCCAAACACTTTTTTCAAAAAAATTCCTTTAAAATATATTCTGCTTCGAAATAAGCCCGGCAGTATTCTACACTACTAAATAGCCCAGTGGTTAGGGAATAACAGGATCCAGCGCAAACGCCAGTCTTAAACCTCGGTATCTAATCCGTGCGAGATGAAAAACAAGATGTAAACCATGCTTTAGGGGTTTTTTACACAATGATTATTGCTTGGAGAAGTCCGTTTGGATGCAAGGAATGCCTGAATACGCGGGTCCTTAGAGTACACGATGGTTTGGCCTCGTCTGCTGTCAACAAAAGGGTTTTTTCGGCCTTGAATACTTTTCTCCGTTCTCGAGAGCTTCCCACAACAGACGCCCTTGCAAATGATCTTACCTATTGCCTCCCCCGCGATCCGTCAAAAAATGTGCTGAACAAACGACCTTTCCCAAAGGCAGAAAAGGCTATACTTCCAATTCAGCGATGGTTAACACTCGCGGTATCTTTTCATGTAATTTGTTTTTAAAAACGAGAAACGTCGTTTTTTGTCGAAGCAAGCAATGGTGAACATGGTCTCTTAAAGCCTGAACTCAGACACCTATCGCTGACCTCCCAGTCTCTATTAGCTATGTATACACATATGCGATCATACAAATAATCCAAATTGCCCCATTATTACCGACATGGTGAATATTTTCCGGAATTGAACGACCTCTCTGTCGAAATTCCAATGATAAAGCGTATGGCTTATAGTCGGGGTTACTTATTGACGGTCTGACTCGGTCCTTATCTCAGGATTAAGGGCCCGGCTGCAGCGGATTCCTCCTAATATGGCTTTTGTAGCACTTCCACGCATACGAAATTCGAGCTGCTCCCTAGCCTGTTTATTTAAAAATCTGGCCATTCGATTGCGGAGCGAACGTGTGTGGCACGCTCAGGCGGGCTGTTTGGCTTTGTCAGCCGCGACGCTTTTTATCGCCTGAAGTCTTTTTTGACCCTGCCTTGACACCGGGTTCAAGTGAGTAAGAGAGGAGAGGGGGCGGTAGATACCGCGACGGTCGAACTGTCATGGGTTTTGTCAGAATCTTCAGTGGAGTGAAAATCATAGGTCCCATTTAGCAATACCCTGAACCTTATTGCCAATTGATATAATAGATTGTTAAGATGCCTTAACCTCCTGGGTCCCCTGTTTGCGCCTTTTACGAGTGTCAGATGGCTAAGGCATCAAAAAGAATTAAGTAGAATTTTTTGTGAGTTCCATGAGCACGAATCCCGTCTACCCTGCGTCTTTTATCCGATCTGTAGAGGTCGGAATTCAGCCTACCTGAGAATCGCATAAAATTTCCAATCATATACATCTCGCTCTATGTTGCTTTTAACGAAGTAGGCTTGAGAACAGAAGTGTACTTGAGAAAATAAAGTCAGCAAAAGAAATAGCTGAAAGTTTTTACATAAAAGATGGGCGACGGTATAGGGAAGGACTCCACTTAACTGTCGGTAGACTGTGGATCGTGTCGTATGAGGTTTTATCTTGGTATAAATTTTAGGGCTGATGCAGAAATTACACTGCCAACAACGACTGCTTCCCGCAACCTCACACCTTAACTCAAAGCCTTCCCCTTGCTGTCGTGGGCTCGAATCCCACCGAGGTGCCGAGTTCCTCACAGTTGGGTCAAAATGAATTATTTAAAATCTCTCAAAACACTTATTAACACCTAACAACATCGTACTTTGATTGGTTCGCCAACGCTGTGGAAGACAGGCGATTGGCTGTGAAGCCTGTGGGACAGGGCCTCAGATGGTGTGTCTGACGCTGCACATGACGAACGCCGTGTTTCTGCGCAGAATGCTCGTCGACAGGTGGGGGGAGAAGTGACGCTTCAATGGGAGCGTGCATGTGTGCTATCGGACCGACTGACGAACAGTCTGCAACGCCTCTGGCCTCCATCTAGGACAAAGCTGTGCCCACGCAGAATGTCCAAAAGCGGTGCGAAGAGGTTCAAG